TTACCCTGCTGTCACCTGTACTTCCCTCCACCCAGTGCCCTTGCCAACGTTCCTGCCACCCACCTTGTCATTGCTCTTCTCACTCTTCTTCCCACCGGCCCTGCCGGGGCATGCGAGCTTGTGCGAGGGCCAGTGGGCCTTCTGGCATTCCCTGCCGCAGTATGCCACCTTGCCACACCCAGAGCAGCTCCTCAGCTTCACACCACTGCCCTCCACCGCGCCACACCCTGCAGCACCGCACACACGCCTCTTGGAACCACCGGGGGCTTCACTGCCTTGATGTGCATTTGCAGAAATGGAACTTGGTGCAGAAGTAGCAGAGGTTGGAGCAGCAAATGTTGGTGCAGCAGCAGCAGCAGCAGCAGCAGCAGCAGCAGCAGCAGCAGCAGCAGCAGCAGCAGTGCTTGGGGCAGCAGCAGGGGCAGGGCGGTAGCAGGGCTCCCCCAGCAGCATCTCTCGCAGGCAAGCCACCAGATTGACTCCCCCTGGCCATGCCTTCAGATGAGCCGGCACCTCCTCCTCCTCCTCCCTTTTCCCCTTCCCCTCTTTGCTGCTGCTGCTGCTGCTGCTGCCGCTGCTGTAGAAGGTGCTGCTGCTGGCAGGAGGAACCCCGTGGTCCCACTCCTCACAGAACCTCGACTCTAACGACCTGTTGCACAGCTCTGTCGCCACATCCTTGCTGCACTTGCGTGGCGACCCGCCGCTGCTGCCGCTTCTGCAGTCGTCAATCAGATCGGTCATGGCATCCGTCCTCCACGCAATCAGCACTGCAAAGCCCCAGTCCTTCACCTCCTCCCACACCTCCCCATCATCCTCCTCCTCTTCCTCTCCTCTTCCTCCCGCACCACCCCCACGCTCCCCTCTCCCTGCCTTCCTCCCTCCCCTCCCCAGCAGCTCCCCCTTCCACTCGTCGCGGCCGACCATGCCAATCTCCTCGACCTGCAGCATCGCATTCGGCCAGTACAGAGCCACGTTGAGCAGAAAGTAGACCGGAATCTCCTCCGCTCTCTCCCTCACCACCTGCACCTGGAACGCCGCACAGGTGCCCCGAGGGAACGGCTCTAACAGCAGCAGGTCCACTAGCTTGCAGAATTCCGGGGAGCGCGGGGGGAAGACGGAGAGGAAGCGGTTGAGAAGGACGGTGGCGGGGCGATAGGCGAAATTGGCGAGGAGGGTGAGGAAGGGGATGTGGTAGGTGAATTGGCCGAGGCACGAGCGGCAGCGGGCGCATGCGGGGGGGTAGACGGCAAACTCCACCAGGAAATGAGCGTCTGCTGCGCATCGCATGATGGGCATGGCTCTGTTCCGGGGGGTTGTTGCTGCTCTAGAGGGGTGCGCTCCCCCTCCCCCCTTCCCACTGATCCCTCTGCCACGTCCCTTGCCACGCTTCCCACCGCTCCCCCCGCCGCTCCCCGTGCCACTTCCCCTGTTCTCGTTATCTCCCGCCCCCGCCTCCTCTACAATTCCCAGACGAAAGCAACGCACGCTCTGATCGTCAGGGAACTTCACTGCATCTTCCTCACCACGTGGCCACTCCTCCCACTCCGAATCAAACTGCTTCCAAGGCACAGGCTTGGGGATGGCACCTAGCCTGACTAGCAGGCTCGGAAGGTCTCGAAGTGGGTGCCGCATGGGCAGGATTCTGCCGTGCGGGCTCCCCTTGAAGCACCTCCTAGCTGAGATGGAATCTGAGCCGTAGATTCGCACCCACTGCAGGATACAGCCAGCCCGATACGTCATTGCTGAGACGATCGGGTTCGTGTTGTTGACAGGGAGGAGGGAGGGGGCGGGTGGGTCAGTGAGGCTAGCGGAATAAGCATCAGCAGCAGCGATTTCAGGTCCGTTCGGATCCGAAGCAATGATGTCGGATAAGAAAGCAACTTGTCCCATCTCCGTCTCCCATTTCATCCTCGCCCGGGCCACTATGTCCCGGCTCAGCCACTCCTTGGCCTTCTCCATTGCTGCATCTTCCACGCGTGCCTTGCTCGCACTCTCAGCGTCCATACAGAACACCTCGCCCTGCTTGCGCTGCCCGCTGTTAGAGATCACAGTGGCACACGCAAGGGCGAATTCGGTTGCGCCCACACCGCTCAGATACATGCCCTTGGGAGCACGGTGGCCCATAGGACTATCCAGGCTCGTGCTGCCACTACAACTGCTGCTGCTGCTGCTGCTGCTGCCATTCTCACTGCAGTGGCTGCACCTGAACTCCCTCCCTTCCCCCCCTCCATGCTCCAGAATCCAAGCCATGCCATCCACATACCTCTCCCACACAGGCCCTTTCAGGTGCTCCCTCCACTTACCATCCTTCCCAACCTTCCTCCCAGCACTCTCACCACGTCTCCCTCCCCTCCCCCCACTCTCACGCTCATCCACCAGACACACCACCGTGCCACCCCCCTCCTCCTCCCCGTCCGCGCCCATGACATGCCGCATCCTCGTCATAACATCTGCCGCTGTGGGCGCATCACCCGCACCCATCATGCGCATCATCCCCATCATCTCCTCAAACATCCGCCATCCCTCCCCTCCCGCCTGCTCCCCAACCCCCCTCCCCGCCCCTCCTCCCGCCCCCCCTGCTCTCGCTTCCCTCCTCTCCCCTTCCCCGCGTTCCCTCACCCCCCCAGACAGCAAATTCTCCATGAAAAACCCAAACCCTTCCTTCAACTCACCAGCGTCCTTCACCCCAAGCACCTGCACTAGCAGGGAGGCGAGCCCATCCTCCTCCTCCTGCCTGCCCGCCCCCAGCTCACGCATTACCCCTGGGAACGTGGCAGAATCGGAGTCCATGTGGAGTCACAATGCGGGGCAGCCTCGCTACAATCACAAGGAAGGTGGCGAAGCTGACAGCACGGCGGTAGGCAGCCCAGCAGCTGCTGCAGCGGTAGCAGCAGGACCAGGCGACTGAGGGATGAGGGGCATGGGCTGGAGCAGTGACCGCAGCAACAGCAGCGACAGGAGGGGCGGCAGTAGAAGCAACGGACGAAGCAGAAGCAGCAGCAGCAGCAGCAGCAGGGGCAGCAGCAGGAGCAGAGACAGCAGCAGGAGCAGGGGATTCAGCAGCAGGGCTTTCAACCCCTAGAATACCCGGCAGGCGGGATCTGATCATCCCAAGGTCCATGAGCACACCCACACGCGGCTCAGCCATCCACTCTAGCACCATCGCCTCAGCACAAATCCCCGCCGCCTGCTCACACTTCCACTTGTACCGCTCTCGAGAGGACTGCACCCCTTGCGTCCCTCCCAGCGCCCCCTCCGGTACAGAAACCCCTGAGGAAAACTCTTCAATCGCCCGTGCCTTTGCCTTCTGGGCTGCTGACGATGCCTGATTGGCTGGTGGCACGAGGGGGACGCATTCTTTCAGCTGCCGCCGTAGGGTTGAGCGGAAGTCCCTCAGGCTGTGGAGACCCAGGGCGAGCTTTGACCGGCGGGAGACCACACGATCGAAGCAGGGTTCGCAGGCGGCTAAATCCCAGCCGTTCCTCACGTCTAAGTAGTGAACCATGTCCGCTCGATCCAGGACCTGGACACCCTCCTGCTGCTGCTCCGGTCGTTTCGGAGCACCTGCTGATCGATGAATTCCCTCCTCTTCCTCTCGCTCTCCTGGCTCGCCCTTGGCCTTGCCTGGCTTGGCTGCTGCAGCTGATGCTGATGATGATGCCTGTGACTTGGGCGCTGTTTCCTCGTGCATGCTGCTGCCTTTCTCCAGCAAAGTTTCCGCGCTCTTGGCCTTTCCTCCACCAATGCTTCCAGCGGCTCCTCTTGACTTCAGGTCCGGTCCCAATATGTACTCCACCTCCTCCTCCTCGTCCTCATCCTCCTCCTCCTCGTCCGCATCCTCCTCCTCCTGATCCTCCTCCTCCTCCTCCTCCTCCTCCTCCTCCCCCTCGTCGCTGCTGGCCTCGAGGTGGTCCCACTTGCTGTAGTCGATGCGGGTGCTGGTAGGAGCAGCAGGCGGCGCAGCAGGCGGTGCAAAAGGTGGCGCAGCTGGCAGAGCAGCAGTAAGAGCTGCAGAAGAAGGAAGAGCAGCAGAGGCAGCAGCAGAGGCGGCAGGAAGAGGCCCCGCCGTTGAAACAGGAGCAGCAGCAGCAGGCGCGTCATTCGTCCCGTGCTTGCCTGCTACCTCGACCTTTTTTTTTAGACCTTCGTGCACGGTTTTCATGGGAAGCACTTTGATGATTGTACCCGATTTAAGCTTAGCGTGCTCTACCGTGGAGTCAGGAGAGAGGTACACCACCTGTCCGAGGACCATGAAACGGACCTGCTGCGACGGCTGCGACTGCTGCGAATGATGCGACTGCTGCGACTGCTGCGTTCCACCAGCCAAGTCCTTTCCGACCGCGTTCCCGCCATTAGCCGGTCCCTGTTGCTCACGAGTCTGACATTGCAGGTAGCAATGTGGCAAATGTGACTGGAACAATCTGGTGAAGACGGTCCGGAGGGATTCCTGTGGAGAGACGGCCACGTGGACGTCCACGTGGGATGATCCCGTTGATTTAATTTCGAGATTCTTGTCGTTGGATTGTGAATCGTTGCTACTGTCGTCGGATCTGCGTTGAACGAGATAACTCGGTATCCTAAACCGAACCTCGAAAGCCATAGTGGCCGCAGCTGCAGGCATCGCGAACGTGCTAGTCAGCCTTACTCTTTTGGCCGTCGCTAGTTGAAAACTTATCAGGATCCATAAATAGCTCCATACTCGCTACGTTTTCTGCTAACTACACAAGGAGGTTCGATTTGATTCTGGAATAGCCATGGCCGTCGAGGTGTGATGGACGGAATTTGAGAGAATCTACATGATTCACACACCCTGCTTGTGGTTTTTGCGAATTCCGCTTTGTTTGATCGCAGATTCAGAAACAACCGAACTCGAATCAGGGAAATCCGTTTCGCTGCAAGAAGCGCTGATGAGGAAAAACGACTACACCTACTGCACGTTGTCACCCGCTATACCACCTGAAAGTCCGTTCTCTGCTCTAGCACCAACACAAATGGAGTTTGGTGGTAACAACTTCCAACAGCTTCCTTTGCAAAAAGCGCGAGAGACAAGGTCGCCGTAAGTAATACGTATACAGGTATCGCGTGCATGGGTCGTATGGTCCCGTCAGGCCAGGGTCATCGATATCAGACATTTTTTTCTGTTTGTCTGAGATTCCAGATTCCATACATAATTTATTCAGCTAATCTGATTTTCCAGAAATGGGGTTTTAATTTATCTGATCGATCAGAAACGAATTTTTGTAGTGATCTGATTCATCAGAGATGTATTTCATGTTTCGTTTGAAACCGAAACATAGTAGACTAAGGGGATTTCTGCTAGAACATGCTCTGACAGGGCAAATCTCTTGTGTGAGGACGAATCTGCTGCTGTGTCAGGGCAAATATGCTGTGATTGGGCGAATTTGCTGTGCTGTGACAACGTGAGACTACTGTGCCAGGGCGAATTTGCTGTCAGGGCGAATTTGTTGTCAGGGCGAATCTGCTGTGACCAGTCAAGTCTGAATCATCAGTCAAGTACGCAACCAGAGATCAGAAACAATCTTTAACAATTGTCCTATTTAATTGGTCAGACAAGGTTTTTGTAAAATGTCTGACCAATCAGACACAGAAATAGCAATTTTTCTGACGCATCAGACCCGAAGGGCCCGTCTGATGCATCTGGCCCCCTAAAATCCTAGCGAGGACCCTGCGTCAGGCCTTGTTCGGCTGGCGCATCAGCCCGCATGGCCAGAGGCTCGGGGATGGTGCTCACATCGAGAAATTGAGGCTTGAGTTTTGGGATTGACATTCGGAATGTCGTGGGTTTCGCGGAAGCCATATAGCGTGTTCACGACGTCTTCGCCCAACATCTGTTTCCAACTGACCAGTGCTGCCCTGATGCGAGCCAGGTAGCTGCAAAAAAACATTGCAGGGGAAACTCGAATGAGAAGGCAGAAATGTTGGCGTTGGGGTGCGTTTTATTTCTGACAGCGGGCAGCAGTGGGCTCAAAAGGGTGCTGAAGGTTATGGTTATGGTTATGGTTATGGTTATGGTAATATTAAGGTCGTAACCTGTATACAATCATACATAGAGCAAACAGGGAATATGGCCTTCAAGCCAACTACCTATTAGGAGTACGTAAAAAAACACATTATTCCCCTATCCCCTAGAGGATTCTCAAAGTAGGAATGCAACGGAATGTGTGAACTAGGGAAACAAGGGATACAAATAACAACCCTGAAAGTGTTGTACTCCCTAGAGTGCTACTCACTGTAGTCTAGGAACCTATAATAACATTTGACACACCCCCATAGGCTAAGTGAGGGGCATCAAAGCAAGCAGGGTGAACAAACGGTCACAAGACCAGTCAATGCAAGAAGCAAAGCAAGCTCAGGGTGGATCTCAAGGACACCACACAAATTCCGAGCACAAGCAAGCGGCCACAAGGCCAGTCCAAGAGTTCACTAGGATATATATAGCAAAGCACAACAAGCAGAGCAAACAACAAGTCTACAGCAACCGAGGGCCTACCTCAACAAGCCCCAACTGCACACAGAACCTGTGGTGGTCACCAAGCGCCAGGGCCTTGGTGAAGACGTCTGCAGTGTTATCGGGTGTAGTAGGACACTGACTCGTCGAACCGGACATCACGGGAGTCTAGGAACTGGTGGAGGGGCGGGTGGTAAAAGGACCAGTCGGCCGAGGCTACCGGGAAACCAAGGAAGACACAGGGGACGGCGCGAGCCGAGAGCTTGTCCGCAGAGGTGTCGCGGACAAGCGCAAGGCAGCCCCAGACACGAAAAGCTGACCCAACACCAGGGGACCCTGTCCAAAGACTGGTCGGTGAAGCCTCCGGCCGCGAGACGCGCGGCCGGAGGTTCAGCTGGTGAGCGGCGTAGCGAACCGCGTAGGGCCACAGAAAATGGGGCGCACGAGCATGAATCATGGATGTGCGGGCGATGTCCATGACCAAGCCAATGCGGCGCTCAGCAACCCCATTCTGCTGTGGGGACTCTGGCAGCGTCCAGGACTGTACGATGCCCTGCTCGCCGCAGAATCCGGCAAGAATGCCTGAGCGAAACTCACCCCCACGGTCAGAGTGGAGACAGGAGACACGACGGCCACGAGTGCCCTCAGTGGCTAGAAGCCACCGGATCAGCGTAGAAGTCACCTCGGACTTCTTCGCGAGAGGAAACACCGTGGTGTACCTGGAGAAGTCGTCGACGACCACCAGAAAGTAACGCTCCCTCTCAGGTCCCTGCGTAGGTGCAGGGCCCCAGACATCCAAGTGGAGTGTCTGGAAGGGAGCAGTGGCCGGACGAAGGGAGGAGGCGTGCGGAGTGGCACGAAGACGGCCGGCAACGCAAGGAGTGCACGGCGGCGCAGGCGAGGGAGGGAGCGACGGGAAGACGCGAGGGAGACCTGAAACAAGACGGTGACTAGCCATAGTGCGGAGGCGGGGGATCAACGGGTGGCCAAGACGGTGGTGCCACAAGACAGTCCGGTGGGTGAAAGACCGACACGAGCAAGACGCAGCAACTAGACCGGACACAGCAACCTGACCGGACACAACAACCTGACCGGACTCTGCTACCGGGGGGGACGAAGCAACCTGACCAGACACAGCTACCTGCGGGGGCGGAGTGTGCAGGACGAAGAGACCTGAGTGGGGCTCTCTGGTGAACGTGGCAAGAACTGCCCCGGTGGAAGAGTTAGTACAGACCGCAGTCCTCCCGTGCGCAGGAAAAGTGACTGTGATCCCCCGGTCCTGAAGGTATCCAGCACCCACCAAGTTCCGAGAGAACGAGGGGATGTAGAGACCAGTGAGGAAACCAGAGGGGACAGCTGGGCACGGGAGAGTGGTCGAGCTGCGAGCAACTGCTGGTCCTGAAGTAGGATTAGCCAGGGCAACTGGGACTGGAGTCGAAAGAGGTGTGACAGTGGTGTGGTCGTGGAAGAAGCACTAAGACGCGCCGGAGTCCAGCGTGAAGGAGAGCGACGCAACAGCAGTCGTCACGGCTGGGCTAGTGACTACACAAGCACCTACACTAAAAGCACAAGTACCGACACTAGCAACAGGCAAAGGTCCTAAGCGAGGTACACGCAAGCCAAGAGATCCGTACGTGACAGAATAAACAGCATCCATAGACATATCAAACACAGGGTAACCACTATGAAACAGACCGGGCCAGATCGGGGGAGCCGACTCAGGCCCAAAACGCTCACGGTAAAGGTCGTCGAGGCGGCTGTAGCAGCGCTGTGCAGAGTGGTCAGGACGCCAGCTGGTAGTGCCAGCACCAGGGCCGGTCAGAATCCGGTACTGGCAGGGGCCGACGTCGCGGCCACCGCGACGAGTCCCCCAGCTGGCTGGGCCGCTGCTGCAGCCAACGCTACCCGAACCACCAGGCCCCCACGGCTGCTGAGGGCGCCACAGCTGCTGAGGGCGGAGCTACTGCTGAGGGCGCCCCTGCCGCTGCGGAAGCCACTGCTGAAACGGCCGCTGCTGCTTTCCCTGTTGCTGGAGAACCCTAGTGGACTCCATGATAAAAGCTAGCGGGGTGCAGGAGCGGCAGGCTAGGAGCGACAGGAGCTAGGGACGGCTGCAGTGAAAAACGAGAACAACTAGGAGCGCCAGGTGAAACTAGGCGAGTAACTGCTGGAGCACGGAGCGAACTAAGCTAGGAGCGCCAGGTGAAACTAGGCGAGGAACGGCTGGAGCATGGAGCAAACTGAGCTAGAAGCGCCAGGTGAAACTAGGCGAGGAACGGCCGGAGCAAGAACTGGCTGGAGCTAGAAACGGCGAGCTAGGGCTGGCTGGAGGTAGGAACGGCCGGAGCTAGAGACCGTAAGTGCGGTTGTCGGCTGCCGCTAGTAGAGCCACTGGCAGTGGAAAATACGTGCAACAGTAGGGGCTGCATTACTGACGGCTGCGGGATGGAGGCAACTGTGCAGGTCGTCCGGCATGCAGGAACGCAGGCGACAGTTGCAGGCCCCCACCCTAGACCCCCTTTTTTTTTTTTTTTTTTTTTAAGGGTTTAATTAATTTATTTATTTTCTGGCGCTAAAGCGCTCCGGGGTGCGCTGCCTGCAGGGTGTGCTGCCTGCGGGGCGCGCTACCCGCGGGGCGCGCTACCCGCGGGGCGCGCTGCCTGCGGGGCGCGCTACCCGCGGGGCGCGCTACCCGCGCGGCGCGCTGCCTGCGGGGCTGGGGCGACGGGCCAGGGCGCGGGCTGGGGCGACGGGCTAGGGCGCGGGCTGGGCCGACGGGCGAGGGCGCGGGCTGGGGCGACGGGTTAGGTCGCGGGCTGGGGCGACGGGCCAGGGCGCGGGCTGGGGCGACGGGCCAGGGCGCGGGCTGGGGCGACGGGCCAGGGCGCGGGCTGGGGCGACGGGCCAGGGCGCGGGCTGGGGCGACGGGCCAGGGCGCGGGCTGGGGCGACGGGCTAGGGCGCGGGCCTGGGCGACGGGCTAGGGCGCGGGCCTGGGCGACGAGCTAGGGCGCGGGCCTGGGCGACGGGCTAGGGGCGCGGAGGGCGCTAGGCGCGGAGGTCCGCGACGGCGCGGGCTAGGGGCGCGGAGGGCGCTAGGCGCGGAGGTCCGCGACGGCGCGGGCTAGGGTCACGGAGGGCGCTAAGGCGCGCGGGCCGAAAACATGGGCTAGGGGCGCGGAGGGCGCTGACGCGCGGAGGAGGAGGGCGCTAGGGCGCGGAGAGGGTGCGGAGGGCACGGAGCCTAAGGCGCGGAGGGCGCGGAGGGCGCGGAGGGCGCGGAGGTGCGCTAGAGAGGGCGCGGGCTAGGAAGTAACGAGGAACTAACCTACTCGTGATACCATCTCAAAGTAGGAATGCAACGGAATGTGTGAACTAGGGAAACAAGGGATACAAATAGCAACCCTGAAAGTGCTGTACTGCCTAGAGTGCTACTCACTGTAGCCTAAGAACCTATAATAACATTTGACAAGGATATCCCCCGGCAGTTCTGAGAGAGCGCTCTATGACGGTGAGCATATCTAAGGGGAACGGAAAGGGTTGCCAAGAAGCCATGACATATGCAGTCAGGATGGATGGAAAGAACGCCTTTGGCGTAAAAACAAATGAAGCGGAGGGGTGTGGCGGTCTTGATGCTGGAGGCTGACCGTTGTTGTTTCTTGACTGACTGGGTGGATCGTCTCCATAAAAAAAAAAACATTGAAAGCGAGTAGAAATTGAGCAAGGATTATTTGAATAACTTCGAACTTGGAAGAGAACGTGTCGTTAAATTTCCTTTCACGTCATGCATTCAAAATCGCCTTGGCAGCCGCGCCAACGAGAACGTGTCGTTAAATTTCCTTTCATGTCATGCGGATTGTCCAGCTCTCGCGTGGAGAGGAAAAAGGAGGAGCTCATTCGGGGGCGAGCAGCCAAGGTGGCGGCGAGCAACTGAACTAAGCGCGTTCAGGACGTCTGGGGCAACACCACAGTAAAAGAAGATTTGGGAGATGGTCTGGAGTTGTCCAGACGCGCAGAGAGTGCAGCGACCTCGGTCAGTGGCAAATTGGATTCTTGCCCCGGAAGGAAGGGAGCGGGTCTAGAGACGGAAGAGGAGGTCACGTTGCAGGCTGGGTTGTTCGCAAATGAAGTCATGTGTCAGGTTAGGGAGAAAGGGAGGAGGGGGGTGTGAGAAATGGAAGCCGTCCGCACCAGCGCGGCGCGGGGCCATGGAGGGGGGAAAGCTAAAGGGGGGGGGGGGGGGAGGGGGGGGCCGGGGGAGAGTTAAGCAGCGGGCAGCAAAGGGGAAAGGCCAGCAAACAACAGGGGGTGGGTACACCCGAGAACAGGGAAGGAAGGGGGGGTAAGAGGCGTAGAGGAGCAGTGCAAGAGGTACAGTAGCAAGGAGGGGGTAGGTGGAGCAGCGTAGGTCAAAAGCAGCGTAAGACAGAACGAGCAGGGGTGGGGGTCTTTTGCAAGACAAGGGATGAGGGGGCTGGTGAAGTAGGGACAGAAAAAGCGTACAGAGGCAATGGTGGGTCTCGGGCAAAAAAGGAAGGGTAGAGGACCGTACTAGGTCTTCTGCAGCTGGGCAACAAAGATTTGGGCCTTGTTGTTCAGGCGCTACTTGCACTTGAAGGCGAAGGTCTCGTGATCAGAATCGTGATGGTTGTTCCCACAAAAAGCGCACACATGTGTGGAAATATTGAGCAGGGCATTAGGGGAGTCATCCTCAAACGGAATGACAGCGGGGATGCGGGAAAAGGATGGGACACCCGAGCGAGGGAGAGGGATGCGGGTGAAAATGGGGAGGAAGACCTCCTCGTACGGATCGGTCGTGCGGTGGAAATACTGCAGATCCGCGAGCCAAGCCGGTTCTGATGGATCCGCACCGTGCAACAGAAAATCGCGGACGTCCTCCGGGGTATACCCCGGGGGGATGTTCAGGAGCGACATCGCAGTGGCACCCCCGGCTTTGCTACGGTCTTCGAAAACCTTCAGAAGCACAGAGCGGGATAAATTCAGAGGGATGGAGCGGGGGAAGAGGCGCTCAAAGTCCTCAGCGGCTTCCTCCGTCGGCCATGAGAAGCAAAGCCGTGCATAGGCACGGCGCGGAACCCGGAGCACCTCGCCGGTGGCAGATTCAAACTCCGGGACGGAGCCGCATCGGAAGAAATGCGGCTTCAGCATGGCGGTGATGCGGGCGATGAGGTCCGCGCGGATGGCGTCCGCGCCTGTTTCGGGCATAAGGAGCGTGACCACTTTGAGGCGGTGGTGGGGGGCGACCGGTACTATTTCTAAAGGCTTTCTCTTATCCTCTAACTCTCCCTTAATTTATTCAAAGGCTTGAAAACCTCGAGAAGTAAAATTCTTACGTATCTTCATGGGATAACTCGATCGAATTCTTACTTTCGGGGGTGTTCGGTTGGAGTTTCCCGGGCGGTGCAGAGTCTATTTAAGCGGATTCTCCTTTTGTCTCAGCGATTTCCCCTGGTGCCGGCCGGTCATGACGTTGTAAATTCGCGCCATCATTTTCTCCCTTTTTCGCCCGCTCCGAAGTCGCCACGTCGTCGCCTTTTTGCCTTTTTCCGGAACTTTTCGCGATCGCCAGCTCGATCCGCGACTACTGGCGATTCTTGTTTTTTTACTTCGGGGGTGCTGCACTGTTCTTGCCCTGCAACTCCGCACGTGCTTTTTTCATTTTCCAGCACGACAAAATCCGATGCCCTGCTGCGCCCCAAAACTCTCACGTTTTGTTTTTCGCCGGCCGCTGCTTCGCGTCGACATTGTCGATTTCCATTGCGTCGGCAGTCGTGGGGGGTGCCGATCGCTCCATGCCGAAATTCCTCTTCAGCATGTTGCATCGTGTTTCGTGTTCACCCTTGGTCAATGCGTCGAACTGTTCGGCGGCACACACCATGTCCCTGTAGCTGCTGTAATTCGCCGCGATAACCTGTCGGCGAACTTCATTTTTCAGCCCCGCAGTGTACGCTTGAATTTTCTCGCCCTCTGTTAAGTCTTTGATTCTTTTAAAATACGACTCCATCTGCTGCGTGTACTGCGCCACACTGCCAAATTGGCGGTGTCGGTGTATCTGCTGCCGCGCCATGTACAAACTATTAATTGGCTCGAATCGTTGAATTGAGGCTGCCCGAAACCGCGCCCACGACCCTCCACCTCAGATTTCACTACTGTAGATCCACTCCAGTGCCGGGCCTCGTAATAGTGTTGCTGCGAGCCGAATCGCATCGCGTCGTGTGTCGGAGTCGTGCATCTAATGGCCTCGAATTAAAATTTCGAATGTAGTTATGAATCGACGGACGTCGCTGCCTTTCGCGCTAGGATCGAACGCCTTCGGCAGCCTCGGTCGCACTGCTTCGAGATTCACTGTAGCGGGTTTGCTGTCGAAGGTACGAATGTCGGTGTCACTGCCGCTGCTACTGCTGTCGCTGCTGTGTTCGCTGCTGCTGTGGCGGCTGCCGACTGGTTTGCGATCAACGCCTCTAGTCGTTGAAGCGTCGCCAGTGTCTGCTCCTGTTCGGCACAAAGTGCGGCAATTTCCTGTACGAAATTGTCGCCTTGCCCCTCCATGCCTGACGTGCCTGTTCGAAAACTGATTTCGAGGGGGAGTTAAAAACTGCGCGGAACTGGCTTTACGCACCCGAATCAGCGAGTTTGATGTCGCCCCCGCGGTTTTTTTTAAGGCTGGGTTTTAGCGGTTGAAGAACTTCACGTGAAAGCGTGCTCTGATTACCAAGTGTGATGATCGAAGGATCGAGTTCAGAATTTAATTATGGTCTCCTGGGTGTAACACAAGGCTATATATAGGCACGATACAAGGCAATGTAACCAGGTGTTACGAGAAGGTTCCGAGTGTCGCAAAGCGTCCGAAATGGGACCTTCCTGAATTCGGTAGAATCACTTCGGTGGAATCATGCGTTACGCAAAGTTCGCTGCACGTAACCTATTTCGGTGCATATAACTATAATAACTATAGTAAAGCAACGAAACTAGGAAATCAAGCATAAGAAAATAGAGATTAGCAAGATAATGCAAGATTAAGTAAATATGGGTAAGCGTAGCCGCTGTACTCTCACAGCAGATGTCTGGGATGCTGGGATCCATCAGCATACCGTATAAGAAATCCAGCCATACCGTATAATTATTTTACTATGTACATGAATCATCCTCCCAAATGCCACTAAACTGAAGGCCTTATTGTAAGGCCTGACTGAAATGATTGATAATGTACGGTAGCAGCGACCTCCAAAACGACATGGTGCCATTTCTGGGTGCCGTTGGAGGAGGAAGGACCTGTGCCGTTGGTACAGAAGGGCGCGTCACTTGGTGATGATGAGGGGGGCGCGTCATCGAATTGTCCTCACTTGGTGATGATGAGGGGGCGCATCATGGAATTGTCCTCGTGCTCCAGAATGTGGCAGTGCCACACATACCCTGGCCCGCGTGTCGCGTCAAACGGGAAGGGAGTGCCGTCCTGCATGCATTGTACATCAGCAGTAGCTACCCAAAGAGAAACAACTGGATTGGACCGACTGATCTGGGAGTACCACGGTGGGCTCACTGACCGGGAGTACCCGGGAGGGCTGTCCCACCTGGGAGTCCCACCCACCCGAGGGTGGGACACAGCCAAGGGGGGGCCTTCTGTTGCTAAGTCTACAACCTCAATGGAGGTTGCAGCTGTTGATGCCTCTGGTTGGCAGCGCTGTCACAAGAGGAGTAAGAAGGGTGGAGAGGTTAAAGGTGGTGGAGGAGGTGGAGGTGGTGGAGGTGCAGGTGGCGGAGGTGCTGGCGCTAGAAGATGTACTGCGTCAGGTGGAGCTCCTGGAGGAGGCGTTGGTTCTGGAGGTGTGGCGGTTCAGCAGCAGCGGCCACAACAGCAGTGGCCACAGCAGCAGTAGCACCAGGTTCAGCAGCAGCAGCCGCAGCAGTTCCAATAGTGGGGCCCGCAGCAGCGTGGGGTTCGGTCAGTTTTGGAAGCACTAGTCGCGGAAGTGGGCCGTCCAACTGGACATCCGTGTTGGACCCTACGAGTACACCCTTTAGACAGGTCCGCGCCGCGGCTTCCGCTGCGGGCATACTCACCCTCCTAGACAACTACCTCACCGACCTCTACCACCTGCATCACGGGCACGGCGGCCCTGCAGCGGATTGGGCTCCACTGCTCTGTCGTTTTGGCCCGCAGTTGTTCACCATGCCTGTTAGTGGTTTGCATGCTGCTATGTACCCTCCCCTTCCTGTCAAACAATATTGTGATGTTAGGCTGTAGTGGGTCATGTTCTATGGTTTACAACCGAATTAGGGTTAGGTACTTGTACTCAACTTCTGCCTAATGCATTCATTCCTGCGTCCATATTCTAACACGGTATTAGAGTAGGTACGATCCTTAGGGCCCACCAAACGTTCCGCCCCCAGGACTTTATTTTTTTTTTTCTGCCCTGCTGCCTAGCGCTAGCGCGTGCCTTACTGCCCTGCCCGCGCGCGCCCAGCTGCCCTGCTACTGCGCGTCCTTGCTGCCCTACCCGCGCGTGCGCCCTGCTGCCCTGCCTGAGCGCCGCCCTGCCCGCGCGCGCTCTTCCTGCAGCTGCGCCGCCCTGCCTGCCCGCGCGCTCTGCACGCGCACCCTGCTGCCCACAGCACCAGCGCGCCCTGCTGCCCAGCACGCCAGCGCGCCCCGCTGCCCAGCGCGCCAGCACGCCCCGCTGCCCAGCCCGCCAGCGCGCCCTGCTGCCCAGCGCGCTAGCGCGCCCTGCTGCCCAGCGCCCAGCGCGCCCTGCTGCCCAACGACCCGCGCTTGCCCTGCACGCGCGCAAGTGCCGCCTGCTGCTGCCGCCCTAGGTGTTGCTGCCCTAGGAGCTACCGCCTGCCGCTGCCCTAGGTGCTGCCGCCTGCTGCTGCCGCCCTAGGTTCTACCGCCTGCTGCTGCCGCCCTAGGTGCTGTCCCCCTAGGTGCTGCCGCCCTAGGTGCTGCTGCCGCCCTAGGTGCTGCCGCCCTAGGTGCTGCTGCCCCGCGCTGCCCCGCGCTGCCCTGTCCCGCACTAGCGCCGCCTTGCCCCGAGTGCTGCTACGCTGCTACTGCCGCCTGTGCTACTGCTGCTGCGCAGCTACTGCTACTAGCTGCCACTGCCTGCCATGGCCACTACCACTGTCCTACGTCAGCAGCAACCGAATGTGCAGGAGTCTCTCTCGCCGCAGCAGCTTCGCGAGTGGGCTATCTGGTGGGGCGGCCCCGGTGGCGGAGCTAGCCGTGCTCGTCAGGGGAAGTCGCTTACGCCACAGCAGCGTCGTGAGTGGGCTGTCCGGTGGGGCAGCCCCGGTGGCGGAGCCTGGGGTGCTACTACTGGAGGTCCGTGTGAGTCTACTCCTGCTGGTAGTGCCGCTGGTAGTCGCGGAGGTTCTGGGGGTGGACAGCAGCAGCAGCAGTGTCCGCCGGAGACTCTCTCCCCGCAGCAGCTTCGTGAGTGGGCTGTCCGGTGGAGCAGCCCCGGTGGCGGAGGGTTTCGGAGTACTCGTACTGGGGGTGTCGAGGCACCTGGAGCTGTAGAGGCTGCTAGTCTTGGTGCTTTTGACTCAGCTAGCACAGGTGCAGAGCCTGAGGAGGCCTTGCACACTTTTACCCTAGACTCAGGCGCGTCTCGCTGCTTCTTCCGCGACAGTACCACAGTCACACCGCTCACAGCCCCTGTCCCTGTCACACTGGCCGACCCCTCCGGGGGCCCGGTAGTCGCGCGTGGCGCTACTGTTCTCCCCTGTCCGGCGGCCCCTTCCGGCCTCCTCACAGGTCTCCACCTCCCCTCGTTCGCTAAGAACTTGGTGGCTACCTCTGTCCTCCAGGACCAGTGGGTCACTGTCACCCAGCCAAGAGGCGAGCTAGTGGCGATCTGTACGGACTCGCGCACTGGTGAGCACCTCGCCACGTTCACTCGGAGGCCTGGGACTGGCCTGTACACACTGACCCTCTGAGTCTGCACTGGTAGCTGAGTCAGGTCAGGTAGCTGCGTCGGTTGAGGTCACTGCGTCTTGCTCGTGTTGTCTCCTCATGCACCAGACTCTCCTCTGGCACCACCGTCTTGGCCACCCCTCCTTGCCATGCCTTTGTGGCATGCACTCCCGTCTCCTTGTCTCTGGGCTTCCCAGGTCCCTGCCCCCGCTCCCGAGGTCTCTTGCGCTGCCGTGCCTTCCCTGCGTCGAGGGGCGGCAGCGCGCCACTCCTCACTCCTCGTTTCCTC